TTATTGTGTAGGAATATTTATGTATGGACTTTTCTGAAAATACAGTGAATAAAAATATTCTTCGCCAAGTGGAAAAACTTAAATTCAGGTATAAGTTTATAAGTTTGACAGAACTAAATCGTCTTGAATTCCATTCTTTGAATCTTTCCGAAACGATACAGTAAAATGTGCCGATAAGAATAAATAATGCGTCTTCATTGGAGTTTATCTCTCGTTCTTTTTACCTAACATGAACCCATTTCCCGTGTTAATCCCGCCATGTCCATGAACGACGACATTATTTAAGTCGGACTAAAGCCAGAATTAACTGCCAGGGAAAAGAACACTCGCTGAAAAACTTGAACATTCATAAAGCGAAAAGTTCTACGATACCAAATTTAGACATCCAATTACAATAGTTACATGATTTGTCTGCCATAATACATTCAACTTGAACAATTCGAGATCTGTTTGCTTCTTAGGAATCTGCAGACGTTTCATCGAGCTCGCCGCGTAGAATGTCAAATACGTACAAATGCTGTATCGAATACGATGCAAAAGATTTTCTTATTCCACACTCAATATCTTAATGGCGCTTCCATATTTTTACATTATTTTAAACGCATTTCCATATACGTCTTGTAGTCAACGATGGCTCACAAAAAATATTCATAACATGACGTTAATAAATATTAACCGCAGATGGCAAATTTTCTACGAATTCTGCATACATATGAACAGCCAACTTTTTACTTTAAAATAACCTATTACCAAACTCAAAAACCCAACTTTAATCAAACTTCTAACTAGATTTAATATTTCCTTTTATCTACTATGAAAGTAATAATTGATGGCTTGATAAAACTAGAACTAAAAATTCCAGCCTGTAAAAGGCGCACAACAACCTATGCATGACAACTTAAGAAGTTAGGCAGATTTTAGATTTCACAATAAAAATATATTTTGCTGAAATTTACCTATACTAGAAACCAATAGACACTAGCGCCGATTTTATAATATCTTTATTGCTAATTTTAGAAATTAAAATTGTTAATATTCTATACAGAAGGTAAAATATAAAAGCGTTTTACATATTTTGATCTTTATGTACCTAATTGTAATTATGGGTTTTTAAACAATATGTTCGTCTTTGTCTAGTTCCAAAGTAAGTATTTTTCTTCATATATAATAAATACTTAACTTTAAAAATACCGTATCCTCAATACGGAAGTATATGCAATCTGAAATACAACGTAACTGACAAGGGTTGGGGCAATATAAAAATTATTTGATTCCGGATAAAAAGAAATTTCCTATAATCACTACTACCTCCGCGAACGACTACTTGGATTTTTCTGCATACCCTAAAAATATTAAAATCACCAAAAATAAACAAACAGAATTTGAGTTAGCGTTTTTATGTTGGTTATTTATTTAATATTGTCAGCAAGTTTCCCGAGCTACCTATAAGAGTTCAAATTTAATTCAATAATAATTCCAGTAACGTGTTTAGAACAACATATGCGACATTATGTGCAATATCACATACCATACAAGTGTTTTTAATAGGTAGTTGTGCAAAAATCTTTAGAAAAGAAGCCAAAATAAGTCATTTTGACCTGCTGAAATATAGATCGGGGTTAAAAACCAAAGATTTTAGCGTCGGAAAATTTGTTAAAAAAGACAATCTAAACAGAATTTTGATCTTTTAAGAACTGTATTCCAAAGTTTATATTACCAAGTCGTTGCCATTTAAGGCAACTAAATTCGATAGTATTTTCGACAAAAAAATGAAGCAAAATTGTTAGATATACAGTGTGCGCCAGAACTCGCGCCAGAGAAAATTTTCAAGTAAGGTGAGATACCAGGAACATGAAAAAAATGTTTAAAAAATTCTATCTGTCAAAAAATTTTGACATTTGACATTTTTTTATGTCTATTTAATGATACTGATGATCTTGAAAATCATTTTTTACAATTATTTAGTAAAGGTACAAAAATTTTGCCAATAAAAGCCACAAATAACATTGAACAGAGTTACAATTTAGGATACAGCTTTCTTGTTTCCT